TCTTGGTTATTAATTGATTGATTGAACATATGTAACCGATCATTCGCAACTACCACACACACACGCGCGCGCATATTCATTCATACCGACTAATCCGTAAATTTGGTGTCCATGTTAAAATGAAATCGATTCCTCCCCGTATTGTAATTTCATCAGATATTTATTAAACGAGCGTTTGCTTTCCATTGTATCTATTTTAATTTATATTTAATTTACATCGAATCCAAAACAAAAAAGAAAGAGAAAGATATGTTCGTGGACATATTTATTAATGCACGTTGATAATTTTATTATTGACAACTCGTCAATGTAATGAAATAAAAATTCTAATTACTAATCAAAATATTGCATAGACATCCCGTTATATTTCACCACTGTGTAAAAACGATCATACGTTGGTTAAAAAATTTATCTTTTTTATATATATTCGAATTAACAACAAAAAATTCGATATAAAAGAGGTTCCAATGATAAAAGCTTCACGAAACAAACACGATGATATGATTTACTGTATTAATAGATATACGCATATGTACACGAATACGTATATAATGTTTCATCGAGAGCAACTTATATATCTGGAAAATTTGAAGTAACTTTAAACAAATCCATAATAACGTTAACGAACCTGCTATACATTTTCCTTCTGAAAACGAGTAATTTTTTTTTTTTTTTGACAGATTGCATCCCAATTTATTTTTAGATTATTATTTTATTACTACTTTTTACTTTTATTTCTAATCAAATGTCGAGCCGTGCCTAGCATGAAAAATATAATAAATACAAAATTTAATTACTCCGTTTTTTAAACAGATAGTAAATTATAATCGTATGAATAAGAAAATTAATTCATGGCGTGTGTTCAATTTATACAAGTAAAAATCAAACGTACTACCTGTAAACAAATTTTTCTATTAGAACACAATATAATAATGATAAAAAATGGATACAACACGAACCAATTTATTTAAACGCGCGTGAAAAATCTTTTGCTAGTAGTATAATACCGTTTAAATAAAATATAATAAAATATAATAAAATAATGAAAATAAAAATCAAACGCGCAAACGTATTTAACACAGGTACTGCCTACAAATTTGATTACATAAAGTAATAAATATACAAATTTTGAACACGTATAAACGATATCATCACGTATAAAATCTCAGTAGCAAAAACGTAATCTACACCCACACACGGGTGCGCGCGAGCGGAGTTTCTATGATAAATATTTATACAGGAACGATGACATCTCCCTTCTTCCTACCTCTTCCTTCCTCTCTCACCCCGTAGCCCACCCCGTAGCCCACTCATTCTCTTAAGTAAGTACTTATATATGTACGCGCGCGCACCATGTAGGCGTTGAGAATACGGAAATAACGAGAACCCTGACGCAACCCTGACGCAGCGCTTGCTTGTTAAAGGGAAGGTCGGCGTGGAATGTCAATCAATTAACATGACCTCAGTTCCGTCTCTAGCTTAAAGCGGATTCTACAAAATAGAAAGAAGATAGTAAAGTTACTTCCTTCGATCTACGATAAAGCACGATTTACCTTTCCAACAAAAGCATTCATTTTCAATTATTCATTTTGTTCAAGCATATTCCCCTTATCATCCCCCTATCATTCGTAATATTTGTTTTATATTAGTAAAATGATAGTCATAATTACTATGATTACTATTACTATCGGTTATAATCGTCGTAATAGTCATTTCTTAACTGTTTATTTTACTTTCTTACGTTAATTTATTTTATCTTGCAAATTTGTCTAGTTTTCTTTTTCTTTTTTTTCTTATTATTACTATTTTACTATCATTGCAATGCATAGTAATAATTTATTTCTCGTGCGAATTGTTTTCTATTGAAAATTCTTTTTTACTTATATTTTTATCAACTGATTTTGTATTTCTTGTATTTATATAAAAAAAAAAAAAAAATCAATTTTGATAGCTGAATTGTCGGTCGAATATAGATATATTTAGAATCTCTCACGGTATTATTGAACGACGTGAATTATTCTTAGCGAAGGTAGAACATCGGATTGACGTATCGAGACCGATGGAAAGACGAGGCGAATCTAAAATGACGAAATCGTCTTTCGTCTTCCCCGCTTAATAACAAACTTCTCTTCGACACACAACCAACCCTTTAACGATCTTTCTCAAAACCCCTTCATTTTTTCCACATATTCGTAATTTATAGCAAATAAAACGGAAAATCCTATTTTTCAATACGTCTATTTCATATTCCAATAATTTAAACAAATTATTAAAAAGTAAGAAACGTATAAAAAAAATACTCAATAAAAATATCTTATTATTGGGTTGGCAACTAAATGATTATCGATAGACAAATCATATTTAATTCAGTTTTTTGATAGCAAAGATTAAAAATTTGTTGAACGTGGAATTGTGACACTGTCCTGAACGATTGCAAAAGGTCATCGACAAAAACGGACAGTACCCAATTTAATAAAGTTATATTTGGAATTTTCCAAATTTGTAAAAAGAAAATTCGAAAAAAGAGTAAAAATAGGCAAATTTTTCTCTATTTTCTTTAAATATTATCATAGCTCACTTAATTAATCCTTCTTTTGATTTAGGAATAGTTGGAGAATATTACGTGACCGGATCGCAAATATTATGAATCTCTCTGTTCGTTATTCGAATAGTGATGAACCTTTTCGAATAATGAAAAGAGAAAGGGATAGAAAAAGATCCAATAAAAGAGTGAAAAGAAAGAAAAAGTTTCAGTTCCAATAAGATTGTTCGTAAAAAAAGAAAAAAAGGGGAACGGACCTTCTGATTTCTCGAGAAAGGCGAAAAGAGATGAACAAAGAAAGAAAAAAAAGGGAATGAGTGGGAAGGGGTGAACTTAATTGAGCTTTCACCAAGGTAGAAACGACAATTAATGATCGGTGCGACTCGAAAGAGCGAAAACAAAGAGACAATGAAATTGGAGAAGAGAAAAGGTTGTGTGTGCTTTAGGTTAAGATAGAAACCGGAGTAGATAAATTAAAGGGATGGTTAGCACAAACTCTCTTCGGGGTAAGGGAAGATCGTAAGCTCGGTCAGTAGAGGGGTGGAAGGGGTGGGGGGCGAGACAGGGTAATAACAAATTCACGAGGTTATTCCAAAAGCTCCGTGCTTTCGTCAGGATTTTTCCAACGTCACGTAACCTTGCCGACGGAGAAGCTCGGATAAGCTTACACATACATACACGTATGTACATATGTCCTACGATTTTATATACGTATGTGTGTATGTCGTATGTAAGTAGGTAGAATGTATATTCCAACTACTAGTCACCTACTACTCGACTTCGCTTTTGTAATTTATCAGCTTGGTGTAGCCTAATCTTGGAAAGAAAAAAACAAGAGAGAAGAAAAAAGAACGAGATACAGAACGACGAGTTTATCTTCCTCGAAAACGTGAATACTTACTCGCGAGCTTTCTCAAGAATATTTCTTTGAATACTAAAGGGGTTGGATATATATCTTTTTTCCCCTAATATGTGGAACACGTCAAATTGTACTGTCAAAGGAATGGATGTATATTTCAATTGTACAGTTTTTTTAATAATGCACAGAAATTGTACACGATATTAAGTGCTATTTTTTGTTTTGATCGACGATTCGTCTAGTAAATTATATTGCAATCATAGCATATGTAATTAGAATACAAACATTCCAAATATGCCTCATAAATTATGTGTGACTTGCACAATTGTAATCATAGTAAATATGTAATTAGAATACAAGCATTACACATACACAAACTATCGATCCATTAACAAATGTTACGCTTAACTATTTTTAGTATTCCAAAAGTAAACATTGAAATAAAAGGGTCCCATAATGCAACCAACCCCACGTGTAAACAAATAATCGTAGACGAAACGTGTGATTTAGGTTCGATAAGCTTTGTGTAAACCTTATTAGATATACTATTAGGTGTGCTAATAAACCTGATTAGAAAATACACGATAAAAATGATAATAAAAAATAGAGAAAATGCATGTACGATAATTTTGAAGATGTTTCCTTTTGAAATATAAGTTTTTATTTATATACCTACTCGCGATTACCTTTAACAAACACAAATAAATATACACTTGTTACAAGTACGGTTACGTAATTTTATATATATTAGGATAATCGCGTAATTAGAGGGAGAGATCGTAATTACAAATAATGATAGATACTCGTCCTGTCTATTATCTAGACCTAATTAACCTCTATTCGTAGGAAATGTTTCACCGAGGAAAGATAGTCTAATCTAATATAGCATAACATAATATAAATACATGTACATTGACAAAGCTCATACTAATTAACACTCATGCTTAAATTAACACCGTGATTCCTTAAATTGCTAATAATTTCATAAACGTTACTCTAAAATACCAAATAATAAATGATAATTGAAAATTGTCGCAACGCAACTTTAATCTTCTGAATATAAAAATGAGAAAAGGGAAGCAGAGAGATAAAGAATAAGGGTAAACAAATAAGGAAGAAGATTTAAAAAGTTTGTCGTATCTCTGTTAACGAAGGTAAAAGCTGGCAAGTGGATCGATGAATCGGTCGCCTGCACGAAGAAAGATAAATTGGATTTTTAAGAAGAGAGAGAGAAAACGAGTCTCGCCCTTCATCTTTACTTTTACAAAGTGCCTACGCCGTTATATATATCGTGATAAATTGATGAAAGTTAACTCGATACGGGTAGCTTCGGAGTTTATTTTCTCTTTCTCTTTCTATATATCTCTGGTTTCTTCCTCCCACTCGCATTTGCGAAAACGTTCGAACGAAGTTAAATTAATGGTCAATTTGCGATAAAGACTCGTTGAAATTGGTTAACCGCGGCGCGCAAAGTATCAAAGGGCAGAACGATACGGCTCGTTTCCTGAATGAAATAATAGCTCATCCGTGGCGTGCATCAGAAAAGAAAATACACCGACGGTTAATGTTTTTCAAAAGGATTATTTGATCGATCATTACCTTCATTCTCGTTATTTCCGATGATAATCTCGGTGTCCTTAAAGTCAGATTCCCGTAAAAGATCAAGCGGATGTTTAGGCAAGAAAACACCGTCGATCGTCGGAGCGGATGGGAATCCGAGAATACCCCAATAACTGTTCCACTGTTGTACGGATATAGTTTTGGCGTCGACAGATCTCATGCATAGCATAACGCGAGCGGGATTCTCTTGAAGCATGGTGGAATTGCAACCGCAATCGTCAACGAGGACGCGTGCAACATCGTGAGCTTTTTCGCCGGTCATATAGCTCCAGGGTGCGTTCAGGGTGCCACTTTGAAGTATACCGCGGCGGACGAGACCACGAGTTACCGGGGAAATCAGGTGAAGACTGGCCGAACTGCCACCGGCAGATTCGCCAAAAATCGTTATCAAATCAGGATCACCGCCAAAGGCAGCGGCGTTGTCGCGAAGCCACCTAAGGGCCAACGCTTGATCCCATAATCCCATATTTCCAGGTGCTTCTTCGCTGTTAGTTCCAAAGTGTTTGTTTAAATATAAGAATCCGAATGCACCGACACGGTACTGCATCGAGGCTATGATAACGTTACTCGTAGAAGCCATTATATCGGCATCGTAAACATCTAGGGTAGCGGTACCGGTCATGAATCCACCCCCATAAATCCAAACGAGTATCGGCAAGCCGTTTCTCTCCGGGCTGTCAGGCGGCTCGGAACCCTTATGCCTCAACTTTACTCTCTGGGGTACCCAGATGTTCAAGTAGAGACAATCCTCGGATATATTGGTGTTCGGATTCCACATTTCTTCGCCTTCGAAACCGGGAAAGTACTCGTATCTTTCTTGATAACAACTATTTGGTAAGATTGTTGCATTTAATATACCGTGCCAAGGTTCAATGGGTAATGGTTTGCGAAAACGTAATGGGCCGATCGGTGGCTTAGCGAATGGTATACCATAAAATATGTGTACGTCACGATTTTCAATTTTACGACTGAATCCACGTACGAGACCGCTCGTAGTTTCGACTACCAACGGATCCTCGTGGACGTCGTTGCGTTGTCCGAGAACATCGGGACGACCGAATCCAAGGCTCTTGGAACTTAATGCAAGCACCAATTGCGCTAATATCAACGACGAACCGATCGCTTTCATTTTTTATCACTTTCAATATTCTTTTGATATTTTTTATATGTCTCTCTATAGTTCCTTATAGGAAGGCCAATGTTTTCGCGCGGCCCGCTCGAATGGACACGGCAAACCCGGGCCACAGCACGCAGAGGTTCACGTTGAGCAGAGGCTCAACAAGTTACCGAGTGGGGGAGCACCAGCTTTTGCGCGTACGAACGCACACGCACACTTACTCTACTTCTCCCACCCTGCATGTGTCTCTCTTTCTGTCTCTCTCTCTCTCTCTCTCTCTCTCTCTCTCTCTCTCTCTCTCTCTTCCCGTCAAAAGCTTACCTTTATTCTTTCGGATAGTAGAACGATCGAGGACTAACGAAATCCTCTTACGCACAATCCTTCTCAACTACTCTCGCGCTAACCTTCGACCCTACACACGCACACACGCACGCGCTCTCGACCCACCTTTCTTCCCTCCCTTTTTTCCTCTTCCCTGTCTCTCTCTCTCTCTCTCTCTCTCTCTCTCTCGATCTCTCTCGATCTCTCTTTCGATCTCTCTTTTTCTTTTCACTTTACTTTTCGATTACTCGATACGAACGGATTGACAAGAGAAGCCCGCGAAAATCAAATTCTATTGAAATTTTTTGTTGTATTTTTCTTTTGTTTATTCTTCTTCTATTTTCGTTATACGTGTAACTCGTTAGATAGAGTTGAATAAAATGAGTATTAATGATTATTATACTCTCGTTCGGTGAGAGAAAAGTTAGTAAATGGAAGAGAGAGTTGTGTTCGCGCAGCGGCCGGCGTGCCGCGTTGCACGGGGTCGACTGATCGTCGAGGCATAGCTGCTACGAACCGGAGCTACCGCGTCGATGGTGCTGCTGCTCCTGCTCCTGCTCCTCCTCCTATACCTGTCCTCTCTCTAACTTCATTCCAAAATTAGATTTTTATATTTTAATCCTTTTTCAACAATACTTATCGTCATTTCAAACATAAATGTTTCCTACAAATCAAAATTCATTTTTTAAATTTGCCCATCAAATGAATTATTTCATCTTTACTTTATAATTTCTAACATATTGTATTGTGTTAGATTGTTATTCATTCGTATTATATTTTGTTAGTAAACGGATAGGCATCGATCCATTCAACATTCGGATGTACGAACAAATCGGAACGCGAGATTTGGTGCCCTTATCTCCTTGTTCTCCTGGTTTCTCATAGTTTCTCCTTGCTTCGATGAGTCCTAACGAAGTGGATAGACGCGCTAGAGAACACGAAGATATCGGTGAATGGATTTTCTCGCTCCTCCTCGCGGATATTAACAGTTAGCGTGCGACCACCTGGAACTTTCCATGCAGCTATCTCTTTTTCCCTTTTTTTCCACTTCTTTTTTTATCTCCTTTTTATTGTATTTTCTTTCTCATTCTCTGTTGGCTATCGAACCATCGAACCATAAACTACGACAACAACGACGGCGACAACACAAACGGTTTAACTTTCGCGATATCCAGGAATTGGACGTTATCAAAGTCGGAACGTATCGATTTCTTCCCGAAATCAAAACTAATCGGAAAAGCAACAACGTACAAACTTCTCTACTATTATCCGACTTTTCTTTTTTTACTTCTACCTAAACTCTTCACCTCTGTAACATCAAATACATTCGATTAAATGTAAAAAAGAAGATAAATTATAAATCATAGGATCAATAAAAGCAAGCAACGCTTTATTCAACATTTTCTCCAAATTCGGAACATGCAAAGACGTCCGAAATCCGTAATGTTATTATTAACGGGGAGTGTAAGGGAAGAATGGCGGGAGGTGTTAGAAGTCGTTGGTAGAATACATAAACGACGTATAATTGTAACGCGACCTCGAGGATCCCCAAAGGTCCTCGTACTTACGCCTTGGATTAATTCCTTGACTGACATCGGACTGTACCTCCTATTCGACAGTCCTCTTCTCTCTTTGAATATACACGTGTATCTCTTTGGTACCTAGCACGTATATGGAAGTTGTAATATAGGCGCTCTCGCTACGGCTGCTTCACGCGCGAGTGTTCTCGAGCGCAAACCGGGCCGTCCGTCATTCATTAAATTACATCGATTATGTGCTCGAACGATCATCGGCTCTCGAGCCAATTTCAAAACGAGCTATCTTTGTCAGTTCTGCCTCCTCCTTCTCCTCCACCTCCTCCTCCTCCTTTGACCATCCGACGTTTCGAACGCTCTTGGGATGCTTCTCTCGTAATATCGAGTTAATTTTGCCGCAATACCGAACAATACGATCCAACAACGATTCCACGTTTCTAACAATCGATCATCGAACAATCGATTTCTATTCTTTCATAAATTCAGAATTTGTAGAAAATCTTGCAGTCATTATTTTTCATATTCATATCCATTCATGCAATTTGTATATTTTTTCATTTCATTATTCAAGCTAATATTTCAAAAGTATATATAATTTCACACAATACTAATGTAACTTTAATTAAACAAGAAAATATCTAATTATCGTATTAATTTCAACAACGACAAGATTTCGTATTACTTTAATTAAACGATCTCGAAAAATCCGAGAAAACGTCTCTCACGATTTGGCGCGACATTTTCGTGCTTTAAGTGATTAGCAAGCTAATCTCGCTAGAAAAATCCTGGTAGAAAGAGGAAAAATGAAATATTTGCAACGTTCGCGTGGTTTCGTGTTCGTCTACTTTTCTATTTAAACATACACACACGCATACCTTCATTTCTGAACGCGTTTACTTCTAAACACAAACAGATATATTATATACACACACCCACAAGCCACAGAAATAGATGTCTTCTTCTAACACTAATCGAATTAACGCGTTACTCTCGTAACATTAATGGCAAACATTTCATCTTTCCCTCTCCTTCTATTTCTCTATCAAACCTCTTTGCACGTTCCACGTCAACTTTTCTTTTACGTTGCGTCACGAGATCAAAGAAGGTCTTCTCGTATTTTATTTATCGAAGGGATTCCCTACGCAAGACTTCATACGTATTCCTTCAAATTCTCTTTCAATATTTGTTACATCTTTATCTTTCTTTTTAACATATTGTTTAACAAAGTAAATGTACTTCTCCTATTTGCATCAAAACTGTAATAGAATTTATTATACATATATGAGTACTTTATATTATTATTTTATATTTAAATTGTTATACATTTTTTTTAATACATTGAATATATTTCATTTTTTCTTTATTTCGATATATTATCTATTTTAAATATCTGCATTTGTAATATATTTTAATAACGATTTTCTGTCCACAGCGTACGAGAAATACGCGTGTTACAACATACTCGATAATATTTTAACATCGTTTTATAAACTATGTTTTTTTTTCATTTGTTTGTTTTTTATTCGATTGTCGTGATAAATTTTATTTTGAAAATTGGTGTTTGTAAATAGAAAATGATTACTCGAAATTAGTAGTATTTCAATAGAAATAATTATTGTTATGACAAAATAATCATTTATTTTGTCTTAAAAAAACAAAGAAAGAAAAAGAAAAGGGGATGAAATAAGACAAACAACGTCGTACATCGTTCTGTGAAATCAAAGTGGAACGATTAATCGATTTTCGATATCCAAATTGCTCGGTGGATCTATTTTAAAATTCTCAGTGCGTTTTACTATGGCATGCTGCGGCTTGGTAGTATCAATCTCTAACACTGTAATAACGAATAATATCGAATTCCGATACTATAAGCTCACACCGATTTCCATTTTTAAAGATCCCCTCTTCTCTCGCGAGAAAAGACGATCGCGAGATAGTTATTAAAAAATCCTTCGTTCTTATCGCGAATTATGCCATGCCATGCCATTTATTTTATTATGTTCATCCTGTTGCCGATAAATTTTCATTCCGTGTTAAATACCTCAAATTATTGGCTTCTTCGAGATGTATTCTTTCATTTTTTTTTTTTTTTACAAACATTTTCATTGCCCTAAATCTCAATCTTAAATAGAATCTGAAGCTTATAATAGACACCCTAGACGTCATTTATAAGCTTATTTTGTTGCGATCGGTAAAACAGTTGTTTTAAAAAGAGAAAAAATTATTATAAAAAAGAGGAGAAAATTATTAAAAAAAAGAATCAATTTTATATATTAGGATTATCGTATTATCGAAAGTACGTCTCGCTATATTTTATTGATTTTAGATTAAAATTTTGATCTCACAGATATACACACATTTTAAATATCAATTATTATCTTTGAAAGAGTTCAAAGCACTAAATTAGGTTAATATAAGTTAATACATTTTTTTTTCTTGTATTAAATGAATTTTATATAAAAAAATGTTCATCTCGTAAACGCACACGCATTTTATATTTTATGATATAAATTCATTTCTAAATCTAGAACACACACATTAGTCAGGAAATGTTTGAATTATTCACTCCGTTTGATGAAAAATTCACTCGTTGCTTAAAAATAAAAATAAATAAAACATACGAACATATTTTTATTATTGAAAATATTAATAATTAAGAGAGTAAATGAGAATATATTTAGCATATCGAATGAAGGGATAGTACAGTATGGAAATTTCCTCGTCAAAATAACGGGCCCAAAGAAGTAACAAAATTTATAATTTACACCGAGCGTGAGGAGCCGTTAACGGCCACATTGTAACGATCGGGGACGAAGAGCAACAATTGGTCGGTACGGTTGAGGGGATAACGAGTCTCTTCCGCTGTCAATTGCTTGACAGTCCATTTGTAACTTGCTCTGATTACAAATAGAACCGGCCCGCATCTTGTTACCAGTTACAATTTTCAATTTGCCGATCAAATAGATTACTCTTTTCATTCGGCCATTTCTAAGATACACACACACACACACACACATACTTTTAAATATAAAATATTGTAATCTGACGAAAGCGCATATAAAGAAAAAAGAAAGAAACGTAATAATCCTTGTCATTTAATTCGATTAACCCGTTCGAGTGCTATCAAAGCTACCTGTGTGCACTTTATCAATTGTTTCTCTCGTTCCAAATTCTTTCCTTTTTTTTTCTTTTATTCGAACAACAACATAGTTCATATTAGGAATAAAAAAATAATTCATACCCAAAGTAATTCAACCTCTAAACGCTTGTGTCGCCCACGTTGATTGCTTTTGCCGGAAGTATTCGGTACTCAAAGAGTTATGCTCGAATTAAAATCACAGCTTTTAAATAATTTTCAACACACATCTCACATCCTGAAAGAAAATAAAAATCGATAAAGAGAGAAACAGGATGCACTTATTAAATTGAAAAGGAAAAAACAAAAAAAGAAGATAATACTCCTAGTGAGATATGAAATATGAACGAAAATAAATATGAAAAGGATAGATAAACTATTTCAATAAGTTTAACCGATACCCTTTTACCATATCCCAGTTTGATTTGAAAAGGAGGTAAAGTTAAAAGGGGAATTGGAGCCTTGTCGAAAATAACAGTACAAAGCCGCGAATAAACGGGTCATTGTTTACGTCAGCAGACGTGATCCACGGTGTAGATTAATAAACGAATTTGATTCTTGCGGGATCTTTCATCGAATAAAAATCAACTTGATAAATCAGGATAACTTAGGTATTTTGAAAACATTCAAGTACTTACTTACGCTTCAACTCTGACGCGAAATATTTCATCGAATAAAAATCAACTTTATATTATATATAAATGGGGATACACTTATTTCGAAAACATTGAAGTATTTTACAATAGTTACGCTTCGATAAAAACGGTAAACACTTATCTAAACTTTAATTTTTTCGAAAAGTACTTTTTTCAAAAGAACAACTCGAACGTGCCAAACGATGAAAGGTATTTTTCGAATGGAGGATAAAAAAAAGAAAAGAAAAGAAAAGAAAAAGGTTAGAACTTTATATTCTAGAACGACGTTCCTCGATTAACGAAAATAAACGAAAGCACGTCACTCGGGAAAATTCGTATCTTCCGATAAACGGTCTTCTTGAAGTATCGTAACTCCAAAGTTTATATCGACTTTTCGAAGGATTCGTTATTTGTCTTGCCATAAGAGAGAGTGAATGAAAAAGAGTGAGAAAGGGGCAAAGGGGAAAGGGAGATAACGAAGGGGAGAGTGAAGAAGAAAAAGAAAGATAAAGATCCATACCCACATAACTACGTGCCCGAAATCAAGAACTACGTCTAAGGATACTGTCGTTTTTCTTTACCATCCCCATTCTACTATAGACCCCGCCTCCCTATTTACAACCCAAACGTACGAGGAAAACTTTTTTTCGATAGGCTCAAAATAAACCTTATAGTATCGTTATATCAACTTATGCCGAAATAATCAAGATCAAATTAATGTTCTCTTGGGGGTTGGAAAATATGACTATCTTATTGGTTGGCTTACTTAGTGTCAAGATTTTTTTGTCAAGTTTTCTCTATTAGGACTTTTAGATCATTATTTTTCATATATATATATTACTAATACTTATTTATCAAACGCAAATATATATAGAAATTGCATTTATATTATTTTCAAAATGAACCTAATAATATTTTGCTAGTTTATCGTACAAACTTATGCAAGAAAAACCAAAGATTAAATAAATCTTACAACGTAATAAAATATGCTAAACAAAAGCAATATCTCTGATCGATCAAAGAGTCAGGTGGATTATTCGAAGACTAGAGAATATCCAATGAGAAGAGATCTAGGAAGCTGATTTTCAACTCTAATACGCATCCACGTATGCAAGGATACAGCTCGAACTTGTTGAGCTCGAATAGGATAGAAAAGGGTAGTAGTGGTAGTAGTCGGTGCTAGGAACACTGACACCATAGGCGTGGATTTCCAGGGAAAATACTAAATCCGATTGGTCCAATTGGCTGCTCACGATGAACGATTTAATCGGACGTAACGAGAAGAGAGATAGCAAGAGAGAAAGAGAGAGAGAGAGAGAGAGAGAGAGAGAGAGAGAGAGAGAAAGAGAGAAATAGAGATAGAGATATCGTTTATTCTTCAGCGATCGCCTGGAAAACGCGTTGGCGTGAATTCTGTCGGAAAGTTCGTGTTTAGAATCGAAAATGAGACTACCCACGCGATATATAACGATGAAATTTCGTATCAGTCTATTTACTAACTATCATCCCTTATCTTTTCTTATATCATTTAAAATAACTGTTTAATACACTATTTAACGATTATACCACTGACTATTACTTCAGATTCGAAGTATCGAATATATTCGTGTAAAATTATTCTTGTCTGTTGCTCTTTGAAAAATCTATAAATTTACTCTATTATAATATATATATATTTAGTCTTCTCCAATTAATGACAGATCCTAAACAGCTTTTATACTCTTTACTCCATTATAATACTTTATAATAAGTAAAAGATAGTCGCCTACATTCACCTTGTAGATCATTCTAGTTTTGTCGAGTATTGTGAGAATGAAAAAAAAGTAAATTGAAAACTAAATAAAATACAGAAAGGAAGAAAAAGTATCTTTTACACTTTCTCTAGATAACAACAATTTTTCATAGGATTACGCCCATGAGAAACATTCCTAAACGACGATACCCGACTTACCGACAATGGCTGCAGAATTCCTCCCACGCTTTACCTCTGTCTCTCTCTCTCTCTCTCTCTCTCTCTCTCTCTCTCTACGATTAAATTTCGTGGATGGCTAAAACGGGCGTTTAGTCCTGCAATAAATTTACATAAGCAGACTTGGTTGCGTCGTAACACCCACATTTTCCCTTCCATTTATTCCATTTGGCGTTTACTACCTTTCGTCTTTTGATAAAAAAGAAGAGGACAAAAATGACCTTATTGCGCTTGATTTGTTAATGTTCATCTATCTCATTCTTTCTCGATTTCTTTCTCTTTTTTTTTACTTCAAATGTCTCCCGTGGGAGATAATTGAGCCGTTTCTACGAGTGGTCTCGGTTACCCCTTGAACTCCTATTGTCTTTCTCTTTTTCTCTTTCTCTCTCTCTCTCTCTCTTTCTGGTTTTCGTATCGGCAGAAAGTTCAGGGTAGGATCGATCGTTCCTGGCTGAAGACATCGGACCATTTTACTTGAGCTTCCTAGTCTTTCCTACAACGACTACTACTACTTCGAGCCCGCCTAGATTCGTAAGAAATCGATACGCTATTCTACTGCCATCTATCGGTCAACTTCTACGCGAGGATTACACGGCTGACCTTACATTGTCTTTTTCTCCTTTATTCCCTTTTTTCTACCCCTTACGCGTACCACTCTTTTCTCTGTCTGATCTATTGCGAAATAAACTTATTGTATTAAACGCATCAAAAGAACGCGTTTTATCATTTTTTTAATCATTTCATTAATGTTTTGATTATATACATTTTTGATATCATTTCTGAATGATTTATTGTGTAAATCTTTTTTTTTGAGATGTAGAGATAATACATTGATATTTTCCATTTACATTATGCGAAAGATAAATATTAGGGTGTTAACGTGTAAAATAAAAAGATAGTGTTAAATGTTCTTCATTTGACTAGATTCTTTTTGATCTTTTAAAAATGACAATATCCATAAAAATTTAGTAAATGTATATGTATAAATATGCGAATGTGTGGGTTTGTTTATTTCTCTACGTATATCTCATTAGAGAAAGGAGAAGATATATTTCTCTCATTCTTTAATTAAAAGATTAAAACGCTCTTTACCGCTGGAGCCATCTTTGAGTCACGTAACTTACCTTCAAGATCCTCTCGAAAGTTACTCGGCTCTTCGCATACGTCGTTGGATAATCGTCGAAAGTCTGAAGTTACGATTTTCACGAGAACACCGAGAGAATATTAATCGTGCTTGAAGTGTGGAACGAGAGTAAGACACCTCTATATAGAACTTATCGCATAAACTTTACGGTCTAAGAAAAACTCTCCTGTAAAAAATCCTGGAAAGAAGACATTTTTCATACCAGATTAAACAAAATATTTTATATTACACTAAATAATAAATCGCGTATACGCCTATTAATATTTTCCAATAATTGTACAAGTATATTAAATACAAAAATAATTTAAAATAATTTATGTCTATCTCTCCCTCTCTTACACATTATATATCATTATTTATTATTCATTTATTATTACATTATAATTAATTATATTATAAAATAAATATTTGTAATCTTTTTACCGCAATAAAAATTACCTAAGCATATAAATAAAAAATATAAAACGTAGATAGAATATAAATTTCGAATAAAAGCAGCCTGAAATGATATGAATCGATCGGTAAGGAATGTAGATAAAAAAAAAGTTCGGGCAAGAATCGTACGATGGCAGCACCATCTATTTTCGGCAAAACTTCAATGGAAAACGTATTTGGATTCGATTGGTGACGAGGGATGCTCCATCGGTAGGCAAAGCTTTGTACGTCAGAACAGTCTCATTCAATACGACCCATCGGCAACTTGCTCGAACGTCACCGACAATTTACGACGTCACGCGTATTCAAAGTTTCGCCACAGATAGGACGGAGAAAAGACTTTCTACGAATGAAACTCTTCTCACATCTATCGCTATACACATAGAAACATAGAGACACATATAAATACCTAAATAAATCTACATATATGTAAATATTAGATATCATTTCGGTCGGTTTAGAAAACGCGAAGAAAAATATTGTAAAAAGTTACGAATTTATTTGACTGCATAACATTAGTGAAAAAAAGAAAAAAAGAAAAAAAAGAAAAAGAAACAAGTTTGCAATCTTGAAGGAAGACTACGTTGTTGCTTTTGCTACTAACTGAAAACAAGTCTGCTATGACGCAACTACTACAGCGTCGCAATGCAGATCATGGCGGCTATTGTGCCGAGGAAACAACAACCCTCTCTTTCTTACTTCCTTCGCTATTTTGCCATTTATTTCTCTTCTACTTCCACTACTAATACTACTACTTCTTCTTCTTCTTCTTCTTCTTCTTCTTCTTCTTCTTCTTCTTCTTCTTCTTTTTCCGTAAATATTCTTGAATACAAACGCGAGGGTCGTAAGAAAAAAAGAAGGAAAATCGTATAAAGACGCGAGGAAGAAGGGTTCGATCGAGTACGGTGATGTTGTTGTGTTAGGGAAAGGGTGGGACTGATAAAAGCGTGACGTTACGCTGACGTAGTCGACGTCACCCTATCGAGCAGACGTTCCTGGGAGACATCGTTCACATACACACACACACACACACACACACACACATACTGGAATATAGTGGAGAATGCGCAGGTAGCGCACTCTTCGGGTTGAATTAAAAGGGAACGTGGGCGTTGGAGGTAGCACACAAAGCGGGCGTAGCTGAGGCTACGCTCTTCCCTCGATGTTGCTGCTTGCCGTACTGGGATCCTCGATTTCTCTTATACCGTATTCAAAAATAACGATAGTTGTACTAGTAGTAGTAACTATAAAAGTACACTAAGAAGAAGTAAAAGAAGAAGAAAAAGAAGCTAAGAAGAAGAAGATCGTTGAAACTTTTTCCTTCTCCTTGGAGACGTCACCTTTGAGAAAACATTAATCGTTCACTTTCCTTTTCTCTTATCTTCTTTTCCTCAACCCTAAAGCAACCACCCAACCCATTCCCGTTCTTTCAAAATCGATTAGTTCCTCTTCTCTTTCTCTCTTTCTCTATCACCCTCTCTACTCTCGCAGCTAACGTATCAACGATGAAAAAATGATGGAAAGATTACGAAGAGTGGAAGGAAAAAGAAAGAAAAAAAGTTTTACCTCGCGGATCTTAAGACGGAAGCAGACACCCCTACTACTTCGTCAAAGATATTTTCTTCGTAGAACCCTCATTCAGTCTTTTCCACATAAATAAGACACGAGTTTCTGGAGATACGCGTACGCGTATAAATCGGTAAAATAATATTAACATGTATTTGTATGCATAGATGATATGCATGTACGTAAAGTTACGCAAGATCTCGCCCGTTTACCTAACCCTCCGCCCCATAAAATTATTTTTTCCGATAAGTTTCTTTCGATGTTACTTGTAATGACATTTTTCCTATGACCCGACCTTTTCGATCATCCATCCTCCTACCCCTGCTCATCCTCCATTCAACACCGCTTGCCACTGGTCGAGCTGTAATTTCGTTTCAAAATAAATGTCAACAGAAGAAGAAAATAAAAGAAAGAAAATAATTTCTAATCGGAAAATAGGAAAATGAGAGAGAAGGATAGAACATTTTCCAATCGAATATAGCACAGCACCTCTTTTCGAAAACTCGTTCTGCGCTTTTTTCTAATTACGTATCTGAACGGATAATTCAATAAGCTCCAACGACGATGTGAGAGGAAAACTCTCTTTTCTTTCCTTTTTTATTGTAATTTTTTGTTCTTCTATATAGGGGAAAGACATTTAATTAAGAGCCCCGTGTGACTATTATCATTTCTAACGGACGGACATACTAGAGAGAGAATGGCTCAAGGTACATCACACGGTTATGCTTAAAGGTATACCATGTCCTATATACCACCAACGAAATGTCAAAGAGGTGGAATAACGCGTCTGTATCTCTCCCTCTCTTTCGCGTTGGTAAATCCATACGAATATCTATATACGTATAGCTTATATGCAATTCGCATCGTATAATACCTATATATATAGTACGTACGTGTATCACGGTAAAGGGTGGACGATCATATAAAATACAAAGTACGAGAGAAATAGCGAAAATGTGTCTTTGATCCGACCCATTAGAATCATCCAAATCATCGAACCGAGCTCCGATTGCAATTGTAGCAGTTTACTAAATGTCGAGTTGATATTCGCAATTTATCCGATAAACCACCGACATCAAATCCGCACTCTCGCCTGCTAGCCCCACAAACAAAGAATATAATAAAAAAGTCATTGAAGATATAATCTCGTAAAGAGATAAAAAAAAAAACAAAAAGATTGTTTCCTAAAAGAGAGGATTATTTGATTATATTTAAAAATAAGATTTAGCATCGATACGAGGAGGTAGCGTTGGTGTTATATACCATCGCCTAATTATACAAAAGTTATTTTAACACGCGGAAGTCGTTATACGGGCGATTTATTGATCCCATCTGGGCCGAAAGTGTCGGTTAAGGTTTTCGCCTCTCTTTTTATACATTAAAGATACATATGTTTGTTATCGATCGGCGTAGAGCACGCCGTTGTCGTCAAAACATTCGAACTTTCGATTCGACATGCGGCGTTTGAAATAGTGGTCCCCCCCCCCGCCCCCGATAACCACGCCCAACAACCTGTGAATCGTGAAAAGATATATATGGCCGAGAAAAGATATATATGGAGAAAAGACCGGCGCACCGACCGTTGAAAAAACCACCTGCCCCCCTCCCCTCCAACCTCGGAACAAGCTGGATAGAAGAAAAATGTATGGGAATAGAAAGGAGAAAAGGCAAACCGTAGAATAAGAATGTTGTTAATGAAGTAAACAGAAAGAGAGAGAAGATGGGAAGAAAAAGAAGAAGAAGAAGGTAAATGAAAGAGAGGAAAAAAAGAAAAAAGATTGGCGGACGATGATCCTAATACGTACGCAAAATGTTCAATTTTATAAATGTAACTTTATGATCTTTAGTTAAGTGTGTGGTGTGTGTGTGTGTGTGTGTGTGTGTGTGTGTGTGTATTCACAAGAAAACGCACGACGAAAGACGTTCGGCTAGTGGTGGGGTAGTGTAGTGTGTGTAGTAATAGTAGTGGTTGGAAGAGTGAAGGGTGGAGATCGCGTAGAAACGCGAAGAGAAAGGATCGTTTGAGAAAGGGCGAGAATAGGGGTGGGAGAAAGTAGTTTGAGTAGGGGGATGCGCGACGTATTAAAATGGTGACTCTTACCGCGCAGCGTGGGAGTTAGTTCTGGTGATGGCGCCAGCCAGCTCACTCGCTCGACTAACCCACCATCCCGACCCTCCGATCCTCCATCTCCTAACCACCGGCAGACGACGAAGCAACCTCCACGCTCGCCACCTCCACGCTCGCCACCTCCTCTCGCTGATTCTACTGATCCGCAGAAGTAGCAGCACCACCACCACCAGCAGCAGCAGCAGCAGCAGCAATAGTAATCAAAGAAGCAGCAGTGGGCCAACACCGAGTCCGGCACAATCTACGACCAACAGTACCAAGAGAAACAGTTATAGTAGAAGGAAAAAAAGAAACAACAAAAGCAGTTAGCCGTGAGCAAAATTTGGTTCGAAGGAAAAGACGGACGGAAAGAAAAAGAGAGAGAGAGAGAGAGAGAAGGAGCGGGAGAGAAGCACCCCGATGACAATACCGGACTGGTAGCAGCAGCAACAACAGAAGAGAACCAGGCAGTCCGAGCTATGCGAGATTAATCGTTTTGCTTCCGGTTTCTCGGATAACTACTACTCCTTGAAAAGGCTGACAAAGTCAAACCTGTAGAAGAGAGGGAAAGAGAGAGAGGGAAGGAGGGAAGAATAGGACTATGATGTCGTAACACGCGCGCCTCTGCACGAACGGACGCACGCACCGCGAAAGATCACGTCACCGAGCAGCCCTCGCCGCTACATCCCCACCCTTGATCAACCCCTATCGCCAGCACCGCCACCGTCACCGTCACCGTCGTTGCCGCCGTCGTTGCCGCCGCCACCGCCGCCGCCGACTCCGACGCCGACGCCGACGCTGACGCCGCCAAGATCAACCGCAAGAACACCTTACACGGATGGATCGTCATTGCGGCTGAAATCCCTTGCCGCCGGTAGAGACTCCGAGCACTCCGTATGAAGGCGGTACGCGTACGACCACCCACGCACGAATCGTCCTCGTCGAAGACGTTTGCGTCTGTGCCACCCTTATTCCTATCGTTATTTTATCTTTACTTATTCTTATTCTTATCCTCTTTCTTATTTTTCTTCTTTTACCACCACCTTCCTCTTTACACAATTCGCTGGGCTGGCTCCGTTACCACCATCACCACCACCGCACTTTCACGAAACCACTTGTTTCTCGTTAACTATCGCGGTTATGGTGTTGTTATGAATTTATCTACTGACAATCAGCATCAAAAGAAGTTCAACCGGCTGATCTAACAACAATACAGAGTTATTAGCAATAGCTAGCTCCTCGCTTAGAGCTGACCGACCATACGATTCATGAGAACGGTGTTGCTGCTCTATTGTTAAATGCTCATGAGTAACATAGTGAACAATAAAAAAAGCCTACATAAATTTTGTGCACCTAAGCGGTTATGGTACAGTGTGCGCGTTTAAATCATTCCAATTAAATCTGCATTATATCTTTATTATTACTGTTATCAGATGTATGAATTTTTTAATCTTACTTTTCGCGCGTTTTATCTTCTTGAATAAGGGAAAAGAAAAGGACGTATCAAACAAAAACAAACCCTTTCTCTCTCTCTCTCTCTCTCTCTCTTTCTCTTTTCCTCTTCTAATCTCTCCATCACATACCTCGATTCGTAACTCGACACCATCGAAAATATACCACGTTGCATTGGAAAGCGTCGAATTGAAATCGATTCCTCTATTCGAGACCCCATCACCCACCCCCTTCCTTTCCCACCCTTTTCCCTCTCTCTCTCTCTCTCTCTCTCTCTCTCTCTCTCTCTCTCTCTCTCTCTCACTGTGTTCACCTAAACCCTTTTGTCCCCGGCCACTTCGACCACCGGTGAACCTGAATTACGCCGACAGTGTGTGTACGTGAAGGGTGAAAGAGAAAAACGGCTGAGGTAGTAAGAGAAAGCGAACACCAGACAATCTACGAAAAAAAAAAGGAGAAGAAAAAAAAGAGTTGGAGGAGAAGCAGGGGGTGGGGTGGGTAGGGGGAGGGGAAAGAAAAAATCACTAGAGCTCTTCGAGAGGTATAAGGGAAAACCAAAGAGAGTCAGACAGTCAAACAGAGATAAACGAAGTGGACGAACGTATAGACAAAGTAAGAGAGCGAGTGAGAGAGAGAGAGAGAGAGAGAGAGAGAGAGAGAGAGAACACGCGTGATCATCCTCGTCAAGGAAGAACAAGGACTCAGCTTTCATTTTTCGAATAACTTCACTAAACAAAAAGTATCTTAACGTACAAATGAAGAAAATTGATAGAAACGTTAAAAGTTGTTGAAACAAATGTTAGCAGCACTTAGCATCCTCGTGCACGAGCTTTATCCGTCAAATATTTTTCACGTAAAATCGCGCTCTTGATTTTCCTCGAATTTATTCGTGTACGATTACGCTAATATAATATGATAGAAAAATAGGAGATAAAATAGAAAGAAAGATAAAGAAGACAAAAGTGAGAACATTAAAGAGTTCTTTAAACGAGTTCTTAATGGCTTTCGGTGTCCTTCTTAGTTCGAAAAGAGTCAGTTTTTGTATATTTTTCGGGACACCTGTTGATACCTCGCCATGTTATATAAGTAACTTCCAACTTATCTTTCCTATTCCCTTTCGTATTCGTCAAATACGATATTAAATACTTCGACGATAAGTTATATTAAAACGATCCTAACCAAATGTTCATAGTTAAATGTTTCAAAGTCATTTTTCGAAAACGTAAACGCCCATCGACGAGTCGTAGTCGGTATTATCCGAGGCCGCCATAAGGGGTTGGCCTCGTACTCGAGAGAGATAGAAAGAGAGAGAGAGAAAGATACCGTTTAGCCGGTATACAAGGTCGTTCTTTTTACGAGATACGTCCCTCTCCTTCGCTTCTTCTTCTACCCTCTTGTTCGCGCATCAAAATTTTATTATCCCCCATCGAGATATATACGTGCCTGTTGATATCGCGATATTCGCACGCGCGAGAGAAAGAGAGAGAGAGAGAGAGAGAGAGAGATACTCGATCGTTAACGTTATAAAGTGCTCTTATAGTCGGTAAATGCAGCGGGGTAACGCGTTCTAATATAGACAGGAGCTTCAGCACGTAAGCCAACACACACACACACACATACGCGCGTGAATATTTTTTATTTCATACTATTTTATTTTATTTCTTGTATATTTTTCTCGTTTTTTCGTTTTATTCCTAAAGTATCTTGGACGCTAAGCTTTCTTCTTCTTCTTCTTCTTCTTCTTCTTCTTCTTCTTCTTCTTCTTCTTCTTCTTCTTCTACTTCTTCTTCTACGTCGTCGTCGTCATCCCTTCTAATGCACCAACCAGTAATAAAATGTTCGAGCAGAAAAACCCAGACGCACACCTACTATCTCACGCACGTAATACGTACGCACGCACGTTCGCACTACAGTCCAACCACGTTAGACGAAGCTCTAGTTTCGTTCCTCGTCGTTGCATAAAACTCGACGTTATTTCACGTTCTCCGTGATCGTAATAAAAAAAAAAAAAGAAAAAAAAGCAGGAAAACGTTGAAAAAAGAACAAACAAGAAGGAAGAAAGAAAGAAAAGGAATAGTCTCTCGTCGTTAAGAATAAAAAAATAAAGGAAACGAAAGGTGACGTGATAAAAACACGTGTGAAGCACGAAATATATAATAATAATAATAAGAGGGTGAAATATATTTAAACGGATCCAGAGAAAAAGAAAGAAATAAAGGAATATGAAGGAGAAAAAATAGAAAAATATATTTAAAGAAAAATGTCGTTACGGCCGAACCGATCACGGATTAAACGTAATAATTCCGTCAAATTGTTAATAATATATTTGAATAAGTATTCTACACTAAATCAATTTGTCCTGTCTTTTATGTCTTTGCACCATCCCCGTGCACCAACCACTCTACTGCACGCACGTAAGCACGACGACTGCACCACTTGCATCATCAGTCTTCCACCATTCACGGCACTTCGATGTGTATGTGTATTATGTACTTATCCGTACAAAAACAAACAAGTGAAAAAAACAAAAAAAAACAAAAGACGAACGAACAAAAGTACCGAAAGAAACAATTTAAAAAATAGCAAAACATTGACCTAACTTTTATTATCAATTAACGACCTGATTTCAGGAAGAAGCCGGCGAACCGCGAAGACGGAAAAAAAACGTGCTACTAATCGACTACTACCATACCCCTTCGAAACTACCCCGTACTACTACTACTACTACTACATACTGTACGTGCCTATTCGATTTAGAGGAGTCTAAGCTAGTTACAATTACCTACGAGAGGAAAGAAAAAGAAATAAAGAAAATAAAAGAGAGACAAATACTACGGTAATTGAAATCGTACATCTAGAGAGTCTATAGTGAAAGGCCATAGGGAAAGGCCATAGGGAAAGGCCATAGGGAAACGGGACTATATATTAGAGAGAAAGAGAGAAAATAAAGAAAAGAGGAAAAGTGTGAGCAGCGAAAGAAAACGAGGCGGAGACAAATTTCAACGTTTATGGAAGGAGAAACATCATCGAGATTTTACGCTATCCAAATTTAGTCGATTCAACAATCTTTCGCTATTTCTTTCTCTCATATATAAGAGAACCCACCCTTCGTATTTTATTCTGATACTGGATCCTGAATAAAACAAAAAAAAATAGAAAGGAAAGGGATAAAAAGTAAAAGGAAAATAAGGATCGGATCCCTCGGTGTGTATCTTGACTCAAAGGAAAAGTCGGCCTAATCCACGTTCGGTACACCGATTCCCTCTTGTGTACTGGAAAGAAAAAAAAAGAGAAAATAAAGGAAGAAAAATAGATAGAAATAGATAGATAAATAGGAAGAGAGAGAGAGAGAGAGAGAGAGAGAGAGAGAGAGAGAAGGAGTAAGAGAAGGGTTCGTTTTTTTATCAGGAGCGTAATCCCCCCTCGCATTAGATAGGATACGGTGAAGATCTCTTTCCGTCAATCCGTATAATACGGTCGTAAAAGAGCAAGCAAGCAAGTAAGCAAGGAAGGAAGGTAAAAACGACGGTAGGGAGGAAAGGAATCGGCCATTATCGAGTCACGTAAGATGACGTTCTGTATATTTTGGCTACTAATATACGTTGGACATGTTTTCGAACCAGGAACTCAACCGGTGAGCGTAGCTCACGAAAGAAACCAACAGGATTTAAACGCGAGGAAATATCAGAACGAACAGAGCACGATAGGTGGCAACCTGTTGCACCTAAAAACATATCCTTACGAAAGATCGCATCGCAATGACATGTCCATATACGAGGAAAGGCAACCGATTTATTCTTGGACACCGAACGACATGTTGGTAGATGAGATTATTAACGAACCTAATGACTTGGAGGCTGCCATAATGGCATTCTCCCCTCATTTGTCTAACATCGTTTATCCAAAATACTTGGCCGTTACGTCACCATATGTCACGGTTAGTTCAACAACGACCGAGCCCCTCGTAGACGACGACCTTCTTGCACAACATAGCTTTCCACGTCAACATCAACGGTTACAACGTCAGCACCACTACCATCACGAACAATTACAACAACGGCTTAGGCAGCGACGTCAGTTGCAACGAAACAAGAAGAGACGGATAATCGATTACAGCAACAATAAGCAACACCACTACCATCAACAGCAGCAGCAGCAGCAAGTTCAAAGCCAAGCGCTTGAACTACCTATTTCGATTTATTACAATGGCGAGAAGATCCTTCCAAACGGAAGACAATCCGATCAAGAGGATGTCTACGAACAGAGACTTAACTTGCCGATTAAATTGAAGACTGAACCGATTTTAGAGCGTGTCTCCAAGCAATCGCCATCTTCTTCTTCTTCATCGTCATCGTCATCGTCATCGTCATCGTCATCGTCATCGTCATCGTCACCGTCATCGTCATCGCCATCTTCTTCTTCTGCTTTATCCTCTTCGCGGGAATTTTTCAACGCCGGAGGATTCATCCCCTTGAAACCTTTTATATACGAGATTAACGATCCTTCCAACAAAAAGAATTGGATAAGCATCGGACGTCGATCGGTCAATTTGCCAGAGGAGTCTTCTGTCTCTCACCAAGCCCTGGCACCCCATACATCTCCCTTTACTTCCGGAGGAGCAAGTGTGAACACCCGATTGGTGAGGTCTATCAGGACGAACAGACCTTACGACGTGCCGCAAATTGGTAACTTTTCATATATTTCTAATTTAATATTACAATTTATTTTCCTCGTCAATAAGTTGTCCTTAAAAATCGTTCCATCAAATATAACCGATTTATTATCGTTTAAACCACGTTGAAAGCATGACATCCTACAAGACCATATAAAAAGAGAAAAATTAATAAGAAAGGTACACAATTAAATGAACAAATGTCTTTTTTAAATGTCGTCCCTTCCACGTTTCTATAGTAAATATCTCTAAACTAACGTACGATCGCATGCCATGCTCGCCTAACTCAACTTCTCAAACAAAAACTTCGATATTACGCGACATACATAAATTAGCCTTGCGACTTTAATAATAAAACTTATACCTTGGATGATACCGCAGAAAGGAAGATAAAAGTAACGAGTTTAAACCCTAATTGGTCAAAGAGGAAGATAGAACGATGATAATCGAGTGACAAATCGTTAATACACACACGTGCATATATACGCGTGAGTTTTACTTGTATTAACATATTGCGTTCACGTATTCGATTATTAATTAACATACCCATACATATGATTACAGATAATAAGATTCACAGTTAACATTTATTAACGCGATTAGTTAGTCATAAATGAACTTTTACAACTCGTGGGAGTTATTCCGACGAGTAAAATAAAAAGAAATAGAAAAAGCATCAAATTACCGATACGTTTAGGGAATTTTTATAAAATATTACAAAATTATTTTCGAACCTTTATTTACTTTTTCAACATAGCGTTATATTCCTATACATAGATGTAGATGGGTTTGCACGTATATTCCAACTGATTCGATTCAACTTGATACATCGACAAGCACATCGAGCTTAGTTTCTTAACCGAGAGTACAGTAGACTCATAGAGTACCTACATGATCCGATTGTGAATACCACCCGCACCGTTTCCAATCTAAAGAGAAAGACGTAGAGAGAGAGAGAGAGAGAGAGGGTTTGATAGATAAATAGATGGATGAATAGAGCGAGAGAGAGAGAGGTCAAAATTGTGTAGAACGGTTTAATGCTGTAACCCCGGACAACATATTGCAGTCGGCGTGATTGGATTATGCGAAATGCGATTAGTTGTAGTTTGATAGTCTACTGGCGGACAAACAGCGATCTTCTATTTACCAACGTCAAGATTCCGTTTTACTTTTGCACACTATTCTCCAACAAAACAATCTAACGAATGTAATCTCTACAAGTTTTACGAAGAAATTGATGCTAAAGAAATATATTAAATTGTCAGAAAAAGTTCGTAATCGATTTGTAAATGTAAGTGTTGCTTTTGAATTTTCCCTTGTAAACAAAATGTATATATATAGAAGAAAAAAAGTATTATACGTCAGAAACTTTCATACACGATTCACCCTCTTTCTCATTTCCGTTGTCTAAAATGAAAAGAAAATAATGAAAGAGTGAGAGAGAAGAAGGTCTGATCGATTTTATCTTCCTCTTGTATTTTTTCATATATTTTTGGTACTATCTCGTAAAATTGGTAGAAGAAAAAGTAACGAACCGTTTGATAACGATTTATTAGATAAAAGTTGATGTTAGAAAAGATAAAACAAGAGAGTATTCCCGTTGTCGTGTTACTGTTACAGAGTGTCCAGCCTCGGAGGAAGGAATGGAGAGGTTTGCATGTCCGAAGCCGGATAGAATGGGTAGATATCGTTGTATCGATGACCATGTTCTATGCGACGGCTTCTTGGACTGTCCGGGGGGTGAAGATGAAGATATGCTGCACTGCATGTTTTTCAAAACTGTGAGTTCACTTTAATTAAAGTTCGTACTGTTTTCTACACACCATCGAATTCTCTACATTCGGATCATTCAATAAATTCAGAGATATTGAATATTTTTCTTTCACATTGCCATTTCATAAAAAAAAAACCCGCTTCTATTTTTACGACAGTCTGACATATTCTGGGAAACTTGAACTATGAATTTTTCGAGTGTTTTTAAATATTTTTCCATACTTATTGTAGAAGTTGCCAAAAATGTGCCAATAGGAATTGTCTTAATACTGGGCGTATAAACTGTACGTAATTGAGCTTAATCATCTGCCAATTATTTGGTGCATTAGATTTTTATTGAAAATCAGGAATTATTTGCAACCTTTTAACCAGACGTACATAAATGTCACCTGGAGGGGATCGATATTCCTGGAAATGAACGAATTAAACGTAACAACTGACTTCTCTTGTTCACAAGAATGAGTGGTACAAGTGATTTGGGAATTGGGGTGGTAATGAATGAATTGAAGTGGTGATGATATTGGAAAAAGAGTATAAAAAATAAAACAAGATCGCTAATAGAAAGAACAAACGAAGGTAGGAAGGTAGGAAGGGAGAAACGAGACTGGGGTCTCTGCGTGTTGTTTATAATTCGTCGCGTGTCACCATCATGACACTGCTCGACAATATCTATAAGGGTTTTAAATAAAGCTATAGTATCTCACCGGTATGTGAGCATTTCGCACTATTCCGAGAAATGCGGGAAATTTCTAATGTCAACGCATCACGCGAGCTTTACCACGAACCGAGAAACTGTTCGCACGTTAACGTAGAAATGTACGTGCTAATGAGCAACGAAAGAATGAAAGAAAGAGAGAGAGAGAGAGAGAGAGAGAGAGAGAGAGAGAGAGAGAGAAAATTGCAGATACGAAAAGACATTTTTATCTGCTTCAAATATTCCACCTTTCTTTTTCTTTTTTCTTTTTAATTCTCCTCTTTCTACCTCTTCTTGAAAAAATAATTTAATACTGACACACGTTTCAACTTAAATATTAAAATGGACGACGAAATGTTCGCAATCATTTAACGACAAGTAAATTCTAAAAAGTATGACAAAATAAAAAAGGGAATTTTTCGTCGACGGAAAATAAGATAAGTACAAAACTTATCGGCAGGKATTACATGGATGCCACTTTTCTGAGAATATTATTCATCAATTTTATTTTCTTCTCTTTATTATTATTATTATCTTTTTTTTCACGTCCCGTTCATTTTCGTTACGACAATAGACATATTTTTAGTTAATATTCAAAGATAGAAAGGTAACATGAACAGTCACACGTATATTATTTACACATGTATAGATTCATTCGTATAGGTATACGCACAGACATACGTAAATACGTAAATTGTATAATATGCTTCTCCCCTCTTGACTCTCTCTCTCTCTCTCTCTCTCTCTTGCGATATTGGTTTACCTCTCGCTGTCGTAGTAAATAAATTAAACGCTAAATCACCGAAGGCTCCATCCGTCCATCCACCTTTTCCCCTATAATCGAAGACAAAACCCGACGGATTCCATAAAAGTATCTACATTTTTTATCGGAAAAAAAGGCACGTTATCGAATAGCACGACTATCGTAATAGTACTTGCCATCGGTGTAACAATAAATGACCGATCATTTGGAATATTTCTTTATTTCTTATTTGAACAAATATCAAAATGCATATACATTATTACCAAACTAATTACAACAAATGAATTTTGAGTAAAATATCGTCGTTCGTTTTAACATCATCAATGGCTATTAATTTTGCAACATGGGTAAATGAAAATCGTTAACGATATTGGTATTAGATTGAAATAAACGCAACGCTTTGGCACCGACACTCGGTCGCCTCTATTTCTCGGAGATAATTATATATATTTTGGGACATTTTTTCGTTTGAAACCAATTAGATGGCTATCATAAAATATTTTCAATTATTCATCAAATATTTGCATTAAAGGAAATACTTCAAATAATAATTAATTGCTCAATAATGATGTAAAGAACAAAAATAACGTAGTTTATCTACGAGGGAATGGTTCCTCCCTTGGAAAAAAATGATGACACTGATAATCCAACAAAATTCAGAAAATAATCGAAGTAAAAAATTCATATCCGTCCGAATAATATCATGACATATTTTTCGCTAAAAGTACGAAACAATGGATGTCAAAACACGCAAATGGATAGAACTAAAGGTGGTAGGTGTGTTTGAAATGTTAGACAACAAAAAATTGGAAAAATAATATTGATATATTATATACGTCGTACACACGCACACGCACACGCACGCAGTTATATACGCTTGTAGATATATTTGTCAACTGTTAACAACGTCACGTAGGCAGTCTCGTTAAGAGTTATTAAATTACTAAATGAAGGATAGAGAGAGGTGTAGTGCGAAGAGGTTAGGAAAACATAGAGAGAGGGATGAAAAAGAGAGAGTGGAGAGGGAAGAGAAGCCCCTTCTCCAGGGATATTTTCTATGATCGTCGTGTATGTGTGGCAATTTGAAAATTGTGTTTGCCAAAGAAAGTTTTCTCATTAACGTTCACCTAACACAAAGGAGTTTTCCCTTGGATTCGAAATCATTAACGGGTTGTGTAACACGTTAAGTCAAAGTATGCAAAACGAACACAGATGTTGGGAAAATTGAAAATTATTTTAAGGAATGAAAATAAAATAATATAAGATAAAAAGAAAATAAGGAAATTGCTAGAGACAGAACAATAGAAAGAGAGAAGAGAGATCATTCGAGGAAACAATTTCTTATAAAACGATTCCATAATAATATAATATATCCACGTGTTTAAGTGAATATTAAAATTGAATTGTTGAAATTTAACGTTAGATGCATTTAACATGATTTGACTCTTGTAATATATTTATTATATACTCATGCAATATATGCGTGCGTGCGTGCATGTGACTGTTAAAAAGTAAATAGAGAAATACTGTCTAAACTGTACAAGCCAATAGCAACAAGTGTTAGTATACAACTTTAAAATGTTTATTCAGATTTCTCGGTAATAGGGACACGTTTAAACGCATGCTTAGAAACGAGCTGTGGAAGTAATAACAATAAATATACTTATATTTACTTAATAATACATACATACATATTTATATATACATACACTGTCAATTCAGAAAGTTTGGGTACACGTACTTTCATTTATGAATTATCTTGAAATTATTACTAATCACTATCCACGAATGTTTGATTTTTTGTGTATACAAGGGTGAGTTGAAAAGTTTTCTAATTGAATCAAAAAATAATAGTGAGTTTGATCGACAACAAAAATGATTTCTATGTTAGTCTCTAAACTTTTCAATCCAATATAGTATTCAGTACTAATCAAAATTACCAGTTTAGATAGTTAGTTTAAATGAATTTTATAACTAATTTGTTTTAGTATTTGTATAGAAAATCGCTTGTTTGTTTAACAAACTCTTACGTTCAATCCGAATATGTTTTTCATCCGATAAACGTTCATTTGTACAGAACATATTTTCGATAGATCGATTATACATTATTTTTTATCGCGTTTACAGTTTCATGATTGCAGAAAATAATATTGACTGATATTGTAGAAATACTTGTTTTACGTAGATAACAAATTTATTATAAGAACTTAAGAGATGGAAAATAAATTGATAAAGCATTATTAAATGTGTACTAAACGTTTCGATCGTCAAAGTAACTATTCCTTTTTTCTGTATAAATATTTTACATTATTTGGACTAATATCATTGGACAAATTGGTGTTGATTTTTCCCCGTACGCAAATAGTTTCAACAATTTTCTTTAAAAGGTCCCACGAGTTTTCTCTTAACCTTGGAATAAATGGAATCTATAGGTTGTATGTAATGCAAATGTAATAGTATATATAATACACACTTCAATCGAAATTAAATCGTCCATGTGTTAACGATGACGTTATACGACTACTATAAGGAGAAGAGTCGAAGGATTGAATTATTAGAATGAAAGAAAAAAGTTGAACATTTGGATTAAATCGCACGTATGTGCATAAAGATATAAAAAAAAAGAAGAAGAAAAAGAAGAAGAAAAAGAAGAAGAAGAAAAAAAGAGAGAGTTAAAATGTCATGAAAATTCAGTACTCGCAAAGTACGGTCAGATATACTGTGAACGTGGGACGGAAGGAAAGATTAGGACATTTAAAATTTATTGTACGGCATGGCTTTATGACATCGATAACCATAAGCTGGCATCGCTGGCGAGAAACAGACGGGAAGGAGGTCGTACCCAGAAAGACAGTATGCTTCATTGCGAAAGTATCGTTGAATTAATTATATCGTAGAAACTGTGAGAGAAGCAACAAAAGAGAGAGAGAGAGAGAGAGTTAGCGTAGAAAAAGGTCAGAAAAAGGTTGGTGGTCCCATACATGTATAAGTATATCGTACATGTCTCTGATACGTGTACATGTTCATTATCTTTCTCTTTTTGTTTACTTTCTTTCCTTTCTTTGGGAGATATATTATCAAAGAATTAATATCGAAAATATCGCGTATTATAATATAATAAGGACATTATTGTTCTATTGAAAAAGAAACCAGCATACAAATACTACGCTATAGTTGCATTTACGTATATTATACAGGAAGTTTTAACTTAAAGTCGTACGCCATCACGCTTACTACGTTTTTACTCGAGAATTATTGATAAATATATATTTGTTTAAAAATTATATATATATATATCTTATATTTGTAAAATATAAAACAATATTTCAATCTGATATTTTATTGAATGAAGAGAAGATGATTTAAGCTAAAATCTATTAAGCGTAACAATATATTTTAAGTGATATATCTCACTGTATATAGTACGTCTAGTTTCATTGGACAATGCAACTTGATAGCTACGTTATCTCGTTCATCCTACTTTCTGCTTTTTATTCGTCTTTCTTTTTTCCTTTGAAACATTTTGCCTTATTTTTCAGATAATATTAACC